AATACAAAACAAAATAATAAGCTAAAACTTGAAGGAGGAATTTATTACCTGTAATAATTGCCACAAAGAATAAATAGGAGAAACCTCAAGGAATTTAAATAAAATATTATATGAACACAAAAAGGATCTTTTACAAAACAACACATTCAATGCATTAGATTAATTAAAAGAAAAAGCAATTTACAAAGACAAAAATGTATAGAATGTGCTTTACTTGCTAGATCACCTACAGTCTAGGTTCTTATAAGTTTTCATCTTTCTTGGTCTATCTTCTATTATCGCAATGTCAGATATTTAATAACAAAAGTGATAAAAACAAATGAAAAAGAAACTAAATGAAATTGGCTAGAACTTCAATGGAATAAAGTTATTTTTATATTGATGCAGTTACAAATGTACATTACATTGTCCCCTCTCCTTCATGCACATGTGTAACTACAGCAATATAAAATTCACTTTATTCCAATGAAGTACTAAAGGACAAAATTTATAACATGAAACATTTTTCACTTTTGTCATAGATTTTCCTAAAATTGTTCTTGATATAGTACACTTGATAAGCATGCTTCCTTGTTCAGCAGTTGTTTTCCAAATTAAAATAAAAGTCCGTTAATTTTTGAGAAATTACTTTGTTTTGTTTTCAATATGAAACTGAGCAGTATGGGCTTTTGAGAAAAATATGTGAATGAGCAAATGTGCTTTTCTTACAAAAGGGAAAATACAGCCTCCCTGAACTGTGGTGCTATCTGTAGCCAAGTGGTAAAGGGGAATGCAGGTTAGATTCCTGATGGAGAGCGGATTTCCTTTATTAAGATTTCTCAAATGCACAAGCCACACTGTTTAAAATAAAAATAGAGCATCTATTCAAAATACAAAAATCCATTATAACATTTGATTTAATAAAAATGTTGAATTAAATATTAAATATTTTAAAGAAAAACAGACCACTTTAAGGTTCCATTATAATAATTTATTTCACCAGAACCCTTTTAAGGGATGCTGGATCATCAGATCAACACTTCCAAAAATGAAACGAAAGATGAAATGAAAATTCACACTTTTGACGGGTAGTATATATATATATATATAAAGTCAAGAAGAAAAACTTAAAGATCCATTTCAGTTATAAATTATTTTGTGAATATTTCCAACTCTTCAGACCGAAAGTTCTTAATAAATGGACAGACTTCATCTGGACAGATAGATTAACAGGAGGAACAGAAAGCAAGAGAGTAGAGAAGAAAGGGAGAGAGGAAGAAAGAAAAAATAACAGATTTTTGAATATAAAATTCTTTTTAAAACATGAAATAGGGGGAGAGAGAGTGTGTAAAGGAAGGGACAGGAAAGAAGGAAGAAATGAGGAGATAGTAGTAAAACTAAAATAGAATGACCTGGCCAAGAATTTTTCCTTAAAGAGTTGAAATTATAACTGGAATGGATCATTAAGGTTTTCTTCTTGACTTATTATTATTATTATGATGCTCTGTAGTTTACATTGAGCATTAATATCCTCCTTGGAATTATCCCTACCAGTCACAAATTGGATATATATATATATATATATATATATATATATATATAAATCACCACAGAGATCCTTCCCTGCCACCCATTAGAATGTCTGATGCTCAACTTGCTCAACTTCCCGAGAGCACCTCTCTGTGGCTGCTCGGCCTCACGTTGTCTACTGACCTGAGATGGAACAAATATATTTAGTCAATTGCTTCGTCCACCGCAAGGAAAGTTGGCTCCCTGTGCCGCACCATGAAATTTTTCTCTCTGGAATCGATCCTCCAGATCTACAAATCAACAATTCACCCTTGCATGGAGTATTGCTGCCATATATGATCTGGAGCCCCTTCTGTTTGCCCCGAGGTTCTTGATAAGATCCAGAGATGGATATGCAATATAATTGGCCTTGATCTGGCATCTCGTCTGCAGTTGCTCTCTCACAGACATGCCATCGCCTCTCTCTTTTTTACAAATACTTTCATGGTAATTGCTCCGATGAGCTGCTTTTGCTGGTTCCAAGACTTCGCAAATTCAAGCGCCCTACGAGGCTGGCATCTCACTCTCACCCTTTCACTGTTGAAAATGTTAGATGTAGCCACCTCTTCTACTCTAATAGCTTCATGTCTCACACCTCTTACCTGTAGAGATCCCTTCCCTATTCCTGTTTCCCTGATAGCTTTAATCTCCAACTATTCAAATGTAATGTCAATTAACATCACCCGTTGCCTTGATCTATGCACTATCCTTCTCCTCATCCTCTCCTCATTCCTATCTGCTCCTGCTCCAAATCCTCTGTAACCCCTTGCATGCTAGTGGCTTCCCGCCTTGCTAGGGGTGAAGAAATGCTTAAAAAAATATATATATATATATATATATATATATATATATGAAAAAGTGAGGTCAGCATGAGTGGTGACAGTCTGTTTCATGCTTAAACACAATTGTCAGGCCTGAAGATTGCATTTAAGCATAGAACAGATTGTCAGCACTGGGTATTGACTCAATGTCCACTTTTATATTTGTATCTGCTCTATCCCTGATATTGAGAACTTTAACCCATAAATATACCATACCTCCAAATTATATATATATATATATATGTATATATTTACAGACACACACACGCACAAGAGGCTGCTGAAAAATTCTTGGCCCAATCCACTAGCCAAAATCAGTATTTTAATGATTAATCATATTGATACTGATTTTTTAAAAGTTGTTAATTTTGGGAAGTTTTCAGCACTTCCTTGTTTGTGTGTGTGCAGATAGATAGATAGATAGATATTGTCCAGCATGAATCTGACAATTGTGCTTTATATTTCTTCTCAATTTGTGTGTGTGTATATATATATATATATATATATATATATTACATTAAATATGACAGACAAGGAAAATTTAATTTTTTTTTATTGAGTTTTTCCAGCATTCATACATTTTTCCATTTGGTGGGAATAAGTCAAAACATGAAGAGAAGTTAACAATGTGTAAAACAAACCTCCTTAAAAATGGCTAAACTACTTGGAACAATGGACAATATGGACCATTTCCACACTCCATTACTCCCACAAAACAGAAAAATGTAAGAACACTGGAAAAACTAAATAAAAAAAATGTACAGTGTGTTATTTAGTACTATAAGCCAAAGTGTATCCCTTTTGTATCCATCTTTTTTAAGCAAGTAGCATTAAATCAGCAACACGCTCATCTGGATTTTGTAACAAGAGTATTTATAAAAATAAATCTAAGGGCACAAGCGATACAACATCTTTTGCTTTGAGTAGCCATTTAAAAACTGCTGTGAGGTGAGGACAGTAAAATCTGTTGCTTAAGAACACAAAGTGAAGTCACATAATATGACTTTTTTTTTCTTATTCTATTTTTTTTTTTTTTCATAGGAAGAAAAGTGGGAGGGAAATTATAGTGGAATTGCACATCAGCCATTAAGATCATCAGGGAAGATAAAAGCACTGTTCTTACTGAACAAAATAGGGAATCAACATTAATCATTTTTTCTTCTTTTATTTTATTTTTTTAAATCATTTCACTCCAAGCAAGGTGATAATGCTACAAGGATGCAAATTGTTACTGGGAATGGAAGAGAATGAGAAGACATTATTGAGGAGAAAGGACAATAAAGTAACAGGATTCAGGAAGACAGAAGATGATTAGCACTGCATTTAAATTTTTTAAGATTATAAGTGGCAGAGAAGCAAGAAATTGAAAATAATTTCCAGAGGTGACAAGTGAAGAAAATGATATCAGTGAATACAAAATAAAGAAATTTATTTGGTTCTTTTTGTCTAGTGGCCTATCAACATCAATGGTTTATTTGAAATCAAAATGCAAATATTTTGCATACAATTTTATTTTTGGAGATAACAATGGTTGAAGAGCATTGGTTTCCAAATAGTGTGGTCGCCTCATATGTGCAGCAGATGAAGATAGCAGGTGAGGTCGGGGAATGATTGAAGACAAAGATTTAGAAACAGATTTAGAAACATTTAGAAACAGTTTTAAAAAATACAGATGCCAAAAATAAATATTATTTTAAAATTTAAAATATTATTATGGATTACCGTATTTTCCAGCTTGGAAGATACACCCTAATATTGAAAAGAAATTTCTAAGAAAAGAAAAAGTCATTCTCATACAACAATACATTCACCATGCATCCCTCACATACTGACGCCATATACTGTTTACATTAATCACTCATCCAATTTTGTTTGTATGGCAATGACATATTAATCAAGAGCAGAAAAGCTCCCACTGCTGCTCGTAAACAGAGCATGTTTAAGCTTGTGGCTCAGCTCCAGGAAGGTTTATAGTCTTGGAAATACTTGTAACAGCTAAGTAGTGAGATTAAATCATGTAAAAGGATGAATTAAATAGATAGCTAACATTATAGTATAATAACTCAAATTCACAACCCTATCAGTGAAGCCAATTAGGTGACCATCCAAGCTTACTTGGGCCTTTCTCTTTTTCAGGGTATTTTTTATGAAAAAAACGTGTGTTTTGTAAACCTGAAAATACAGTGAGCATGCATAGCTTCGAGAACAAATAGCTATAAATAATTATTGACCTATTTTATCATTGTGATATTTTTGCATTATATCAAGTATTAAGAATATAGTAACTATTATCTGCAAATTGGAGGAGAGAGTTATCAATGATAATGTTCTGACTTCAAGCCTTCTCACTGTTTTTTATTTTTAAATGTAATTTTATCAACTAAAATTTGGTGAGGTGTGAACAAATTTTCATTCTAAAAATGTGGCCCAGAGAAAAAATTTGGGAACCACTGGTTTAGTGTTAGAGGTCTTACTAATTAACCCATAGTTGGAGGGAGAAGAGGTGAATTCATAGTTTTCCCAAGGGTATTTGTATGTAAGTGAATATAATGAACCCAACTGGAATTGGAACATGGTTCTCCCATTAACAATTTCAAGCCATTATCCCTTACACTAACCATAAATCTAAGCTTACAGTAGATGGTATTCCCAAGCAGTCACCCACCTAGGGACTGGTCAGAATCAATGTTGCTTAACTTTGGTGATCGTATGAGAACAAGTGTTTCAATGTGATAGGGCTGTAAGCTAAAGGAAATTTGGAAAAATTATACCTGCTTGTTTATTCAATTAAAAATATGAGGAAATGGTTGAAAATTGGCCAAGTAGTTTATTTTAATGTATTGTATCTGTAATTAGGTAAGTCCTCCTTTCTGAACACTGTTAGTGGAGCGTCCATGTTTACACAGTAACAGTATCAAGAAAACTGGCACTATCAAACTCAAACTTCAATCACGTGACCATAATAGTACCAACTCTAAGCACACATGAGCAGAAAGTAATGTGACAAACCTAAAGATAATTTTTAATAATGCTAAAAAGCTTTCAGCCCAACCAATTATTTTTTTATCATTTCACCTGAAGCAAAGCAATAGCACCACTAAAATGCAAGGGTTTGCTGAGTGTTAAAGAATATGAGAAAAACTACTATTAAGGAGAGTGAGTAATAAAAGAGCAAAAATTTAGAAGACAGAAGATACCAATTGATATTGCAATTAAATTTTTGAAGGTCAAAGTTGAAACAAAAAGTGAGGAGAGGGTTACAGAAGTGAAAAGTGTGAGAGAAGAAACTGTTAGCATAGAACTCAGAGTTACATCTAGCTGTAAAATAATGAGACCTTGCCACCAATGTAGTACTGCCCTTATGTTTTCTCACTGTGGAACTATGTTGGGCCAAGGACTTTTCAGCATCACCTTATAATAACAGTGGCATATTAAACAGAATAAATTATGGTAATACAGCACAAATAGCAAAAATGCATTAATTTAAATGGAATTACTAATATTAGCACTTTGTGAGAAAGATAAGACACATCTCGTCTCATTTGGAAAATTTATTCTTGACTACTTTTCACCAGATATTCATAAATAATTTTATAAGATTAAAGCTTAAAATATTTACTTTGTGCTTCTTTCCTCTGTAGCTCATCTGAAGAGTAAAAAGATTAAATAAGATTGAGACTGAAGAGAAAGACATAATGGCTTGTCTATCAAAGTAAACACACACAACCAACATCATATAGTAAGCAAATGGTTACTCGGTCTTAAATGTTTGCAGAAACAATGAAACTATTGAAAAAAAAAATTCTCTATAAAAGTTTAAGATGTAAGGGTTTGAAAGTCAAACAATAAAAATCAATGAAATGTATTTTAATAGAGAAAATCAATGTGTGCTCTAAACTATTTTCATGTTGGTTTGTTAATTCTTTTACTTCTAAGCAGATTTTATCAGTTTATGTTCTCTTTTTAATTCCTTATCATCTAGCGGAATAAAATAAGAACTTTAAAAATATGTCAATGGATTATCACTGTCAAATAAATGAGAACAATAATCCATAACACAAATAATTTATATTCATTTTATACTTATAAATCATTTTTGCTAATACAATCAATTCATATTAGTACAAAGTCTATTATAGTCATGTTCTAATATAATAAGCATTTCTTCTGTTTTGTATCTATTAAGTAACCTATTTAATACACTGTTGTAACCTGGGAAGTGTTACTGAATAAGGAATAACCAAAATGGAGGTTGGAAATGAAATGGCAATCTTTATAACATCAACAAAATATAATACTCGCCAGCAGCATGAAGTAGGTAAACCACTGTTAGTGGTGGACTACTTAGACAGCATAATTACGTATTTATGAAGATTGGGACATGCCCATTAGTGTTCATAGGTACAGTATATAACATACTCTGAAGTAGAAAATCAGTATCACATTTTATTGTGTAAATTAGACAGTCAAGAATTAACATTATCATCTTCCTTTCTTAATTCCTGTTCTTTTAATGTTTTTTGCTCCTTAATAATGTGTCCTAGTGGCTTTATAGCCTTGCTTGGTGTGAAATGATTGAAAAAAACCAACAATGTTTTAACATATACTCTACTGACACAACAGGTCAGTTTGAAAAGTAATAAAATTGGTGTCACAAATAATTTATTTCAATTCCAAACAATAAACTACATGTTTTCTCCTTCAAAGTAATCCCCCTCGAGTCTAATACACTTTCCCCTCCTTACCTGCTATGCTTCTATGTATTACTGGAGGGATTCTTCTTAGATACCCCTCAGTTCATTGTTATGCCTTTTTCATGGCATCCATGCCTTTAAAATGGGTCCCATTGATGATTCACTTGAGCTTGGAGAAAAGAAGAATGTCATATGGAGCAAGATCAGGTGAATAGAGAGGAGGTTATTCAAGTAAAGTGAGTTTTTTCTTCGTTAAAACTGCCGGATGCTCAGAGTGTTGTGAGCATGTGCATTGTCATAGTAAAGCAGCCACAATTTGTCCTACCACAAAGACACGTGAAAAAAATGAATTGGTTGTAGAAAGCTAAGATTACAGTTATATACTCCCAAGATATCATGTTAGATGATAACACAATCAGCTTATCCATCTTTCACCTATAGCTCACACAGCACAACAAGTCTTCTTACTTTTCAGAAAGATTTTGTATGTTTAGTAAATCCTTGTGTTTCTATTTTTGTTAAAAACTGAAATAAATAACTCTGTTATTGACATTCTTTGGATATTTCAATACATTCTTTCCAAATTAAAAGAAAAATAAACAGTTTTGTTTTTAAAAACTGCTGTGATAAGATCAGGTTAAAGTAAATATTTTCTTCTTTATTGATAAATGAAATAAGTTATTTTGATGTTATTTTAATTGACATGGGGAATACATTTGTTTCTTTATTAACAAGTGTAGTTATTTTTTTATCAAAATATGAAATAAGTTATTTTTGACATTGTTGTAATTGACATATGATATAAGTTTGTCTTTTTTACTGACAATTGAAATAAGTTCTTTTGATATCATTTTAATTGATATGAAATAAGGACTTTTTATTGACAATTGAAATACAATTCCTTTGACATTGTTTTAATAAACATATGAAATATGTTCTTTTTCAATGACAAGTGAAATAAATTCTTTTGGTATTGTTTTAATTGACCTATTAAAAAAAACATGACTTATGTCTATTGAAACAATATCAAAGGAATTTTATTTCAATTCTCAATAAAAAGAATGTATTTAAATTAAGAAACAGAAAAGAGTACTGAACTATTACTATCAGTCCCCCTAGGCTGCAGTGAATGCTGGACAATCTCCTTACAGATAGAGAAGAGACTTGAAGCAACAGAAATGTGATTCTACAGAAGAATTATGAAAGTAGCATATACCAAACATGTGAGCAATGACAAAATTCTAGAGACAATGGAAAGAAAAAAAAACTTATATTTAATACTAGCAGTAGAGCCCGGCGTTGCCCGGGGATGTAACAGTAAGAGATAGATCAAGTATCGACCATCATAAAGACTGAAAAATAAAATTGACAAAGATTATTGTTTAAGGTTGACGGACACGCATGTCTTAATTAGTTTTTTTTTTTATACGAATTGGTCAAACCCAAATTCAAACAAAAACATTGTTTACAATCGTTATGAGTCTATCGATTGGTGAATAGAATTTTATTATAAACAATTGTCTTGTAAATGGAATTTTTAAAGCATTCTGAATGTAAATAAAGAAAAAAGTGTGCAAGACAATAAGAAATACTACCTGCCGAAAAAAAAAAAGTGGATGTTTGTTTTATCGGCTGAAAAATGTAAGAAATCCGATCCCATATATAAAGGAACACACGCACACACACACACACACAACCTGGGTTTTTTAACCTAAGTCACTCCACGGAATCGCTAAAACATAGAGCATAGTCTGATGAAAAAGACGCCAAAGTTTATGAAAACAAAATTTTATCGTCAAAATGCTTATTTTTTTTATGAAGTGGATAGACTAAATTTTTTTTAATTATTTTTTAAAAATTTTTCCATCTTTTAGAATATTCTAAATTTTGATTTAAAAACCTTGTTTCTCTTTGTCGCAACAAGGGGTAGTAAATAACATAGATAATTTTAGCGCATTTTTTTTTGTATTTACACACATTAATTTGGAAAATCTTGCAAAAAATAAAAATAATTGTCAGATGTTAATGAAACTTTCAGAAAGTATTCACAGATGATCGAAATTATTATAAATATTTTTTTTTTTTTTAAAGTCATGGCAGAAATATTTTTTTTATATTTATTAACACCCCATAACTAATTTTATGAAAAACTCTAGAAATTCAAGACCATCGGTTTTAGTGATTACAATAGTTAAAAGCACAAGGCTTTGAAGAATTCAAATCATGTTTTTTTTTTTTTTTTTTTTGGCCAACGTACCTGAAAATCAGCTGTGAATTGTAACATACAAAACTCAATAAAACAAATATATTATTTAGTTTCAAATGCTTTTATTTGTTTTAATTTGTTTTTATGAATCTGGACAATATTTTCTGAAAGCAAAAAATTTTTTCAATGAAAATTGAATTTTTAATACAATTATTTCTTATTTCTTTAATTTTAAAAAGATTTTTAAAAAATGTTTAAATTGAATTTTAAAAAATATTTTAACATTAGTTAAAAGCAACATCAACCTTTCAAAATGCCCGTGTGAGATTGTCATTGTCTAGCGCTTTGAAAATTGTATAATTTGGACCAATCAGATTAGCCATGGTAATTAAGAAATGTAATTTTTGTGTTTATAGTCGGACAGTAATTATCAAGTACGGAAGACCAACCAGAATACAATTTAGTTGCATTATTTGAGTTCAACATTGTTCTCCGCTGTTAAGCCCTTTACTTTTGTGAAACACGTATGGAGAAGTTAATTTGAGTTTTCAATTTCAACTGAGAAGGGTACCTACAAGTAACAATATTATCTTATGAAATTTAACTACTGCTAAACTTTAATTTATATGATCTTATTTTTATATTAATCTCAGTTATGACATTTTTCCATAAATGAAATATCAAAATTAATAATAAAATGAATGGAAATACAAATAACACAGTAAAATGTAATAAATGTACATAAAATTATAGTATTTTATGTACACTTCTGATAAAATTTCATAAGAAAGGTACCTAAATTAATTAGATACCTTTTTCTTATGAAATTTAATCTTACT